ACAGCTGAGCCGCAAAAAAACCCAAAACTGTTAAGCTTGCTCTAGAAGAACAAGTTACAAGAAAAAGCACTGTTAACCCTCTTCTTGAACAACTGTTTCATTTTTTGTGTAAACAGCACTATATCACTGAGACCACAACTCCGTTTGTCCTGACTAGCAGATCGTTAACCATTAAGTATGCATGTTGTAAAAAAAATCAACCTGCAAGTTGATCTTTAAAGGTTTTAATGCACTGATTTTATGTCATGTGGTTTTTCCATCAGATAAGTAACTTCATTCAGTTCTCTGGATTGAAACATCCATGTGTTGTGTGTGTTTCCTGCAGGACACAGCAGGCAGATCTTCAGTACAAACCTGCTAAGCCTCTCTAACAAACTTGAGAACCTTTGAAATATATAAACTTGAAATATTACATCAACTTTCAAAATACTTATTTCAAAATACTACAAATCTGTACAAATATTACAAATCCTCTTTGCTGCCACTTAAAATTAAAGTAAATTTTCTTCTGTCCCTATTTCACTGGTGGAATAAACCAACAGAGTATGAGATTAAGAGAAGCAGGTTTGTGCTTGATGTAATGTCCACATATTCATTTAAAAGAAGGTTAATAATGTCTTTATGTTAAAACCTTGGGATTGTCTTCTTTTAAATTATGTACAAATTAAGGGCATATCTCAGCCCAAAAGCTTCTTAGCTGCATCATCCAATAGCTTGCTATGTGTGTTAGCCTTTTAACTTTGGTAACTAGTGCTACATATGAGGATGAACAAAGCAACCGTCTTATAATTACTTATGTAAGTAATTCCATGGCTGTTTGTACTTCGTTTCAGTGGCATGCGTAACCTACCACATAGGGTCAAATTACCAGATAGGATTCACAACCGATTATTTTGAGGTTACTCTGAGGTGAATAGCTCTCAACAAGATACAGTCCTGTGTACTAAAAAGTGACACAATTCCTTAAGTTTCCAATGTGTACTTCATCTAATGTATACAGTAGAAGAAAATCGGCAGATCAGCCATGACAACATATTCAATCCCAACATTGCCTTTGGCAATGGGATACATCTGTATTCCTTGAGCACTTAGAGATTTGGGGGTTTCTCTGCCTTCCTCACAGATTTGGTTGGCTCAGTCAAACTGGGTATCATCTGAGAATTTCACTAGTTTTCAGTGAGATTTAAGTCGGAGCTTTGGCATGAGTCTCAGCAGGGCTTTCATGCTCCTGGTCTGAAGCTATTCCAGTGCTGATATGTCCTCTGTGTTTGCGGTTACAGTGCTGTTAGAGTCGTGCATCGATCTAAAGTCTTTGGCAGTGCTGATTCTCACAAGCCTCCCCCATACAATTCTGCTGCCATCGACATGCTTCACAGGGAAAATTAGTTAGATGATGATGAGCTGTGCTCGGCTTTCGGCAAACTCTGCAACGATTTTGTCTCTTGCTCAATGAAATGCCTTTTAACTAATTCCAGGATTTTACATGCCTTTTTCAGGGGTTGCTTCTTTCTTTTAACATATAAAAGGTTTAGTTAATCTCTTTTTTTCCCATATCTAAATGATTAGGACAGCTGATGTCCCAACAGTCAAAATGCTGTATACACTTCCCTAGATTCCCACCTACTTGACAACAAACAAATTATGTTTGATAAAGGTTCACGTAATTCAACTCAGGCTGTTACAATTCCATTTTAGTCTACTTGTAAAAACAAAACAAATACTTTAATGTTCAGTTTATGTATCTAAATTAGGGATATTTATGTAACCAATTATTGTGCATACTAAACCTATAGTAAGTGAGCACTAATTTGCAGAGAAGAGTGTTTACTGCATTGACATGTCCTACCTGTGAGTAAAAGTAATTGTTACGCAATTTTTTTATTTTGTACTGTGTTTTGTGATCTGTTGTGCAAATTTACTATCGCAGGCAAAATCTGACAATGTTAAACAAACATCCATCCATCCATCGTCAATCGCTTATCCTGCGTACAGGGTCGCGGGGGGATGGAGCCAATCCCAGCTGACATTGGGCGAAAGGCGGGGTATACCTTGGACAGGTCACCAATCCATCGCAGGGCACTGAAGGTCATATTAAGGTCTAACAATGTTAATTGCTTTAACGCTCACATAACTTGTAACATAATCTTATACATGTTTATTTTATTTTTTAACATTCAGGTTTGATTAGTTTTGTGACCAATGACGACAATGAATGCCTTCTCAAGCCTATAATCTCTCTTTGAAGAATTTGCCATCTCATATTCCCGAAGAAAAAAAAAATCAAAAAACACCACATATCACATTTTGCAATGTCATCTAAATAAGGTAAAAAGATAACCTGCACCAGTGTCTAAATGTCAAAACATATACGTGTAACAAATTTGGGCTCATAAAACCAAAACAGTTAGAGAAAGAGGAAAAAAGGGGGTGTCCCAGTGCCCTAGTGGTTAAGACATATACCAGATAACCACAACATCCCAGGCTGGATTCTGCCCGGTAACCCGTGTTGCACGCTTTCTCTCTGTTCATGTTTTCTGTCTGTATCTACAATGTTGACAATGATAAAAGAGAGAACATGAGTACTAAATTAGAACATCCAGTATTAACACTGTGACTACATAGGCAATGTTAGAATAACAGTACACAGGACCATGCCACAACAATGTCATTTAAAGGTTTAATGAAGATTCTGGGAAAGGTGAGGGTGGTAGAAGGATGTCGTCTGATAGGCTGGTCTGGGAGGATGTATGGAAGACCGGGCAGAGGAAACTCCCTTTACGTGTTCCGTGTCAGAACATACCCCAGACGGTACGATGAGATTGAATAGGAAGAGATGGGGGGATGAGGGAAGAGAGGATGAGTGGATGTGTGTAGGGATGAATGGAGGGAGGGATGAGCAATCTGAGACAGATGGGGCAGGCTGAGTAGAACATGTATAGATAGGCTTGACAGGTGATTAGAGGTGTGGTTGAGGCGTGGCCCCGCTCCCAAACCTAAGTTAACAAATTAACTTTATTTCATTTTGTCACTAAATAGATAAAACAACCAACAGATAATAATCAACAATTGTAATAATCATGTAATCGTTAGCAGTCATTAGTCACTCCACAAGGCTGAGGGTTTTGCAGTCTTTTTTTCTAGTTGTTTTAAGCGTTTTGCACGCTGCTAGTGCAACCTGGGCGTCTCACATTTTAGATAGCTTGGTCAAAAAAAAAAAAGCCTTCCTTGCTGGCCAGAAATGCCTAACATTCGCCTTTTCCAATTTTCTCTAATGTAACCATTAACTGTTTCATATACTTCAAAACTTCACAGATAAGACAAGCAGGTTGAAGAGATCGCGTTGGTCTCTGGGAAATTGCTATCTTCTGAAATTTGATAAACTTAACATTGTCTCATCGATATTGATAGCAGTCATTATTTGCAGCCCTAGCAGAGTGATGTAGTTTTATTATTCAATGAGGAAGAAAGCCAACCCATGTAGATCAAACACCACTTAACTTCCTCCTCTGGTCGTCTGCATTAGCATTAATTTGGTTACATATTCCATACAGGTATTATAACAGCAGAATGTGTATTTTGACTTCATTCATTGCCATTTTTCCTTCTTTGTTTTTTCTCCCTCTGCAGTAAAAACAAGGACAAATTCCCTCCTCTTCACTGGCCTTGTATAACCAAGACATCTGCTCTCCACTGACAACATTTTATTAGTGTGTTGGTTAGTCACACAACATACAGAATGTGGTAATAAAACAATGCTTGGACTATTGACCTTGTCAAAACATGCGAATGCTACATACGATAGTAGATATTTGTGTAATGCTCATTCATGAGGATATGGCACCAGCACTGACCTTCTCTTTCCCCCATTAGCTTTCAGATTGTATCAAAACTTGGCACAAATAGCATCTCAGGGACAGAGAAGTTGGCTGGGGGTGGCTGCCTCCTAGCTATGATCGATGTCACAAGAGGAAACCGTACATCTAAATGGCCATCAGTTTTGAAGTTTTTGCTAGGCCTTACCTCCCCTCCCTGTGACACCACCCATACGGGACACAAGTCTACACAGCCTCAGGAGAGGGAGAAGGAGGCGCCCATCAGCTCACAGCTGATCCTCACAGTGCTGCTGCCTTCACAGACAATGTCTAATGATTGTCTATTCTTGGATTAGCAGCGGGTATTGTGATAGGCTACAAAGACATCCCAATGTGTTAATGAGTGAGAAAAACCCAACAATAAAAGCAACAGCCTCCACCAGTGGGATGATACCAAGATACCCTTAGCTAGTATCAACAGAGGGGAGTGAGAGTTGAGCTGAGGGAAAGATAACTTGAAGGGCTTTCTCTATGACTGCAGGGAACATAAAAAAAGTCATGTTAGTTCTTTCAAGGCTGAAAATCTCTTAAATCATCTAAACTCTGCTGTCTGCTGCTGCTACGGATGATTATAAAAGATTTGTTGACTACACTCAGAAGTTTATCTTAAAATTAAAAACTGGTTCTTCCCACAGCTTAACTATTTATTCTTTTAAAATTTTAGTACCTTAAAGCATATTTTGTGTCAAAAACAGTCCTGCTACAGCAGAAAATTATTCGCCTTAACACGTGCTGTTCTCCACATACAACAACAAAACTGAGTTTGCTGAAACCCAGGGACACCACACTGTGCAAGTACATTCAGATTCAAAACAAGTCCATTTTTCTAATCATGTCAGAGAACACATTGCATGCCACAGCCTATGAGTTTTTGTAACTTTAATACAATGAAAAAATGGCACGTTTCTTTGATTATTGCTTGAAGTTCTCCTGGTGAAGGAAAAAAAGAGGATGGTTTCAGACAGCCAACTTAACCCAACAAAATGCAAAATTTAGTAATGCATTTGTTTAGAAAGTCTTTTTTTGATAGACAATAAACAGATAATGTAAAGTTGGACTAAATAATCTCACGCTCTCATTCATGCAACATAACTCAGGGATTACAGGTTGTGAAAGGAAATTCAAAACAATTCTTCAAGTGCTTTATTTTATGGTCATCGGTTTGATTCCACTCGTGGATCTCCCACACTGGAACAAATTTTCAAACTTTTACACACAGAATACTGAATCAATGGCTACAAAGTCAGCTTGAGATGGCAGTAAAACAGAAAAAAGAAAAAAAATCAGAAATACATAGAGAAATTATGTATTGGGACATCTGCAAATGGCACATGGCTCTCTTGTATGAAAGCATTTCAAGCAGCATTTTGGACAGTTAATTACGTTAGTAGAAAGTTTCCAATTTGCACTTATGTCAAATCATAACTTTCACTAAGCATGGAAGTGAATCAGAAAAACATCAGGGCTTTATTTGGGAAATCAAATGCATCTCTGTTGCCAGGGATGAAACTGACAGTACCTTCAAACAAGAGTACTTTTCAAAAACAGTCCTGCTACAGGAGAAAATAAATACCTTGATCCTAAACCCAAATAACATTTGAGCCGTTATTGTATTGGACTTTATTTTTGTGCAGCAACATCCTGAATATGAATAATACAATGTCAACATTTTAATGTATGTTTCTACTTCTGTATTAGAAAATTCCTCCAGGATAAGAAACAGCTTTTGCTATTTATTCTGTAAATCATCATGTCAGAATACTTTTTGAATATAGTGGAAAAAGAGTTTAAGCACTTTGGTGTCAATATGCACTTCAGATTCATTTACTGCTGTTACACTGTAACAAAGGATGGACGTCTGAAGTTACAAACAGACCTCAGTTTTTAATGGGTAGATACATAAAAGACTTCTCATTATTGACTTGACCAGAATGTTAAAGTAAAGGTGAGACGCTGAGATTTGGTGCGTTCAGCATTTACACTTAACACAAATACCAAAATAAATGCGGTTTCAACAACAACCAGTTCAGACCTATCTTATCCCAGAAATCAAGATAGATAAACACCAATACTCAGCATTCGTCACAGTTCTGGAAAAGCAGAGGATCGTGTTGCCTAGCTGGAGGAGATGGAGGCTACAGGTGCTGTGTTAACATTTACCATCTCTTTCTGCATCCTCTACTTATGAGTCAACCCATCTGCTCCCCTGTGATCTGCTCCAACTGCCTCTGATACACAGCTGAAACCTTGTTCTCTGAAAAGAAAAAATATGTTTGTAGGGAATGAAATTTCCATAGATGAAAGATAAAAGTACAAGAGGAAAATTGTGCTGTAAGTCTTTGCAAAACACATGACTTGCAAGCAATTTTGACCACAACTGTCTCACGCAGTTGCACTAGCGTTTGTCAAACACTACTGTGTGAGTTGGCTGATGCTAAAACTCTGGAGAGAAAACTATGAAAACAACATTAAAGGATAATATTATGGTCTTATTTACACAGCTTGAGCTATCATTTTATCACCAGTTATGATAACTCAAAGTAACTGCTGAGATCTGGGAACATGAAAACAACACTAAGTCAGATGGGGCAAAATGATTACAGTTTGTATAAAAGCCATCAGTTTAGCCAGATTATCTGAACCACATTATTTGAAGGCAAAACCAAGAGTGAGTTACCTTATTTTTAATTTATCTTTCAAATAAGTTTGGATGACCTGGAGATTTGTTTAAAATCTGCCTGACTGTTTTTCATCCCCTGTAATGTACTCACAGATTTCAGCAATTCGCTTGGTCAGTGCAATGTTATTTCCAATGATAGGAACAATGTTGTAAAAAATCAGAACTATCCTTCAAAGGTGGGGTCAGCGATTTTAATCCAATACATGTCTTTTTGTCAAATTTGGCAAATATTTCCTCACAGTCCACTACCTGTCTGTTCTGTGAGTGCGCTAAAAAAAATTTTTTTTTGTTTGTGCTCAGCCCTGGCTCTGTAAATAGGAAACAAAGTGGCCCGACCCCTGCCACACAACTCTACTCAAGCTGTTTTAGCCATGATTTGTGTGTCAGGTAATGTTAAATGAGTTGCCCACAGACATCCAGCTTACTTTCTCGTTTGCCAAGATATACTATTATTGTGATGTTGGCTATAATAGCTGCCTGGAGCTGGTGTGCTGGCTCTGGGACCGTTTCGTCCTCTCTGCATGTAAGCTTCACAGCAGCAACTGGAGCGACAGTTTTTCTAACCCAAATACCCAGCTAATGCTAGTTACATTACATTCTGTGTCGTTGTCCACTCTATATCATGGTATTTGTCATGTTGTTGTTTTTCTCCAGAAACATTTACTCCACTTTTAATTATTAAAAAGGAACCAAATATCCGTAAACCTCCACCAAACTATTTGCCCAGACTTGAGTCCTACTCACTTAAGAAGTTGTTCCAATTCTCGCTTTATCTTCGTCACTACAGGCGGACCCTGGTAGGTCAAAGCTGTGTAAAGCTGGACCAGTGATGCACCAGCACGGATCTTATCCATAGCATCCTGCCCGCTGGCCACACCACCGATTCCAACAATTGTTACTTTACCTGCAAAAACATTACTAAGTATTAGGTATATTTTATATGCACTTTCTTGAAACTCAAGTTATTGGAAAAGGGCCAAAAATACTGGTGAGTAAATAACTACCTTTGGTGAGGTTGTACATCTCTCTGACAGTGCTAGTAGAGAGGTCTTTGAGAGGTTGGCCACTTAACCCACCAACCTCAGACTTATGCGCATCCTGAAGCGTGTCTGGCCTGGACACTGTGGTGTTAGACACCATCAAACCGTCCACTCCTAGCTGCAAACACAGAAACATAGACCAAGAAGAGGACAGGGATGAGTGACATATTTGCCTGCATTAACAAGAGCAAAACTCATGTAAGTAGGCAATTGTGAGTAAGGGCCATCTGACTTTCATAGCAGTATGGCAAAAACAGAGAGACAGAATGTAAAACCTGTAACAGTTTTCCCCCTGGTATTTTTCTTGTTAGATTAACATTCTGAAATGCGAGAATTACAAATCTATCTAAATTAAATCTGACCGTGCATTTCTATTTACCATATATGCAAAATACAGCTGAAATTAAACATATCAATATTATAGAGAATTAAAAAAAATCTCATGGAATAAAAATTTAATTTAGAATAATAAAATCTAAATGAAATGAAGAAAGGAAAGGACTGCAATGAACAACTTCCAACCTCAGTGACAACATCAGCAATATCTTGTTTGTCCTGGGCAGTGAGGTCAGGAGCAATCTTCACTAGGACTGGAAGTTTGGATTCTGCCCGCAGGGCATCGCGCTCCTTCAGCACCTGAGCAGATTGTATGAGCATGTGAGTATATCAGGTGAGGGGGCAGAGGGTGCTACAACAACGGGAAACTAAGACAGAAATACAGTGTACTGTGCTGTAAGATCTAAAGCCTTCAGACTGGGAAGGATTAAAAATTCAGTCTTTAATTGGATGGATGATGAGCTCAACAGCAAAAACACAGAATAATTATTTTGTTTAATGAGCAATTTAACACCAAGTTTAAGCTTGAACACATCCCCTTTTCAAATTCAAAGGATTCTTTCAAACTCTGACATGTACCTCGGGGTGGGGTTTGATAGGATTTCACAAATCTGAATCAAGTTCTGGACTTGCTTATCAACTCTACGGAGAATTTACTGTGCTAAAAGCGTGTAGGGCTTTCATCACATATTTTCTCACTGCTCTCTGACATTCATTAACCCCGTCCTGACTCATTTTCTCTTTGCTGTGAGGGAAAACAGGATTTGCTCCTTACTGGAGGTGGGCTGTGCTACAGCTGCAGAAGCCATAGAAGCTAAAGTAAGAACACAGTGGAAATAATATTAATTCATCTTTATCAATAAGTAAATATCAACTAAATAAATAAATTTTTCTGCACGCACAATGCAATCATAATGGCATTGGCAGATCCATTTAACAAAAAAGAAATCATGTTCAAAGCAAAACATTTCCTGAATTTGAGTCTGCCAGCCAGCTGGGCCCACCCAGGACTTCTTACTTCTAATTTGGTTACATAATTTTGTCAAGCTTGTAATGTTCTTTAAGATGCTATCGCTGGTAATTTTCTCTGTAAAGTCATTTAAGGCCTTTTTATAATTAGGATCTACTGTATATGATGACTTTTGTTCATTTGTAATTTTAAAAAAGTTTAATTATTTGTGAGGGAAAAGGCCGAGCAATAAGGCCAGAAGATTTTTTTATTGTGTTAAGATTTTTTCAATCTATTGATATTATGAACATTCAAACAGTCCTACCGTGTGCAGGAGCTGGCGGAGCTCAGCCTTCCCCTGTAGATCCCGGAGACCTGGCGTATTTGGACTGCTGACATTGACCACCAGGTAGTCAGCCAGTGGGCCCAGCCCTCTCACCCCCTCCAAGTAATCTGCCCCCGCGTCCTGGGATAGCTTGTTCTTCCCCAGGTTGATGCCCAGGGGAAGGCCAGCTATAAACACAGACACACGCACGTTTGCAAACAACACACACACACATACAGGTTAGTTCGGACAACCATAAACACAGGCTGTGTCATGCACATGACTCAACTGGGGCAGAGGCTGCTCATGCACTAAATGGGCTGTAAGCAGGTATGATCGGATGAAAAATAAGAGACAAGGACAGGTCAAGATCATTAAACAGAACAGAATAGTGTATTTAACCATATATGCATTTAGTAGTTGGCTTCCTTATTGGAATCTAAGTAGATTAGTAAATAATAAATGCACACCACAAAAAAATTTAGACAGATTTATCTCACACTAATTATAGTGATTAAACTGAAAGCAACATTTTCTTTGAAAATAAAAAATAAAAAACAGGGTGATGAGAACTCATCATATAAGGTGAGCCTGCTAACCCTTATGTTGCTGTGCGCCTCTGGCCTTCAGCCTTTCTTGTGCTTCTGCCAAACCACAGCTGTTGAATCCATATCTGGTGAGAAGTGCGAGCACACACACACAAAAGGAACATTATATATATATATATATATAAAAATAATAATAATGTCATGACATTATAATGGGACATACATATAAACTAATTAAGCAGATGAAGCACTGTCTCAAAAGTGTATTGTGGAAATACTGTACTGCTGTATTAATTACAGTATATCTTAACTTGAATTCACAGGTAAAGTGTCTGTTGCAATAACTCAAACACAAATTTCCATAAATTACCCATTTCACTGTCTAAAATTTCAAAGTAAACCCATGAACTCTGATTCAGAGCTTAATTAACGTGAACCCTATAATAGCAAACCTTTAGGAAGCATAATCTTTTTGAATATATGGAGCGATGTGAAAAGGAACATTATACAGTAACACAGACTGTCTCTTGCTCTTTATTTCTGTCTTTGTGAGATGTAACATAAAAGCAGGGTGTTAAGCTGCGGAACATGGTCATTCAAAAGATGAGGGGAAAAAAAGCCATGAATCGCTTCTGAATTCAGCATCTACATGATCCACCAAGCAACAGTTTCATGCAAATGTTCGCTTTTATGATGCTCAGGCTTTTATGATGCATTTACCCAAAACATTGGCGACTTAAATGCAACATACGATGGCAAAGAAGAAATTGGGCATGTGTTGAAATTAAACTTAAGTGGTACGATTATGTGAGATTAGATGTTGCAACATTTTATTATAACATTATTCATAAATGATTAAAACTAATTAATTCAATATGGAGGGGAAATCATTTTCTTATATGTTGCTTACAAGATGCTATTTGTGGTTTTACTAATAGAGAATACACTCAGTTACCAATTTATTAAAATACATATACAACAACCCTGCAAACATCTTCATGAAGGTGGGATTTAATGTAGTGTTTTGTATTAATTAATTAGGCTTTTTTGTTTTAGTCGTGGGCCCCAGCTGACTACAAGGGCACACAAGCACTAAATGCAGCGTGGAACATGATCAGATGCTGTCCTCCATGCTGTGCATTATTATAATGAGTTGCTTTTCTGTTCTTGATTGCTCTTGTTCTGTGGTTATTGAGACACTGTGTCAGCTACTTTGAGTTGATTTGTTACTGTAGTCTGGCTAAAGCTATATTGGTTGTTTGATAGTCTGAGACAGCAGGCTATGGTGGTTTGAGTGCAGAGCAGGGCTGTTAGATTTGTTTTTATAGACTTGGCACTTCGACTGCTGTCCGTGGTGCTCATCAAAAGCTGCAGGGTTGCAATTGCGTGGTGTCGATGTGTGTCTGTACACCCGTGTGTACAGGAGTGTGCCTTTTGGGGCACAAGACAAATTTTGCTAATCACAATTATGTTACGTTGCTGAGAAACAATGATATATTGTGGTTGTAAGCAGAAGCAGAAAGGCTATCAGTTAGAGCTGGCATGTGTGGTAGTAGGATGATGTTGATAGTACGTATTAAACGTATCGCCCAGCCCAACATGTTGTTGTGTACAATCAGTTGAACATACTCCTTGCATTGTCTATTCCTTTCACAAAAGCTTATCAAAATCTTACCTGTTAATAATTGCATGATCCGCAATGAGTCGAAACACACGTGGTTTGGGGTTCCCCTCCTGAGGCTTGGGAGTGATAGTGCCCACTTCAACAAAGCCGAAACCCACCTTGTACAACCCATCTATGGCCTCTCCATGCTTGTCAAAGCCTGCCGCAATTCCAATAGGGTTTCTGAACTTTAATCCCAGGACATTCACTTCCTGTAGAAACATAAAAACAAGTCTTACAGTGACTCAGATCATTCTGATGTTAACAGGAAATGTCACAGGAGCAGAAAGTAAAGTGACATGTGTACCAATGATGCAGGGTCCTTGTAGCGGTTCAAAGGAACCAGACCCAGACCTATCATCTTCACTGCCAAAACATGTGCCGTCTCTGCCCCCACAATCTTCTGCAGAAGGGGCATCAGCTGATTGGCATAGAAACGCTCATCTCCAACCGCAGTGAGGTAGGAGACAAACAGAAGGCTACCTGAGCTGATGACCTTCAGTGCGTCCTTAAGCTGCTTCTGTTGACAGGAGCGTGAAAATGATACATAAAACTGTTAAAAGGGACTCAGACATTTGTTACTGTGAACAGCCCTAATAGTTCAATAAAAGAATTCATAATTGCGTCGATCCAATTCCCACATTTAAGTATGAAAAGAGTTTGTATACAGTGTTTTGCTAAATGATCAGGTTAATATCTAAAGAGGATGTGGGGTAGGGTACGGGGGGAAGAAACCGCATGGCCATCCCACATGACATCAAGCATGCTAAAACACCAGAAAGATTTCAATGGGACACCGATGGAACTGAGCCATTTTTAATGAAATTAATGAAAGATATCTGCTGCGGAAAAGCTCTATTGGAGGGACATCGTTGGTGTCTGTTGTTTTTCTAGTCAATGAGCATTAACTAATTTTTCTGGCCACCTTGGGGCAGCGGAAACAAGACATATCATCACAAGTTCATATAGCGAACTTGTTACCCAACAGTGGCATAATTACCCATCCAGCAGTTACAGATCAACATTGTCATTTATATGGAGTCATGCTTCTGGTCACCAGATGTCTGTAAGTCCAATAATCTCTTTAAGCTCGTTTTCGGTCTCTACTAACTCCTGGGAGAAATATCTGGCTCTAATATTGATTATAGCCACTTTGAAGACTATCTGACGCTGGTTATGTTACTTGACGAATTAACTAGAGGCAGAAGATGCTGTCAGACTCACAAGCAGTATGCTACATTCATCATTCAACCAATACAGGTGTATTGATCAGGTTATAATTACACCAATTATAAAAATAAAAGTGATTAAAAGACCTTTCTGGCTTTACTACAGTATGGTAGATTTGTTGCACCTGTCACTTGGTATTAAAAGGGACAAGTTACAACTTTACAGTTATTGTAAAGAGTGCATGAAGTTCGCTTATCTCCGCACAGCGCCACACAACTTAACTGACTTAAGGGCAGAATCAACTTAAAAGACAACATCAGACGTATTCACCGCCTTAGGAAGTTGGTATGACAAATGTCTTAGTCTCTGTCCATCTACTATTAGGTGGACAGAAATTTACTTTCCTATTATCTCTGTCTTGAGGATACTACCTGGCTCTTCACAAGATGGTCCCAAACTTTGTCTGTGCCGTGGTACTGGTTGTACAGTGGGTTTATATAAACTTTATGCTGTGGCAGGGTTGCGGCTTAGAAAACAAAAACAATTTTCCAAAAGAAATCCACGATCTTCAACAATTTGCACACAATCAGCCAGGTTATAGATAGCTGATGTGATTCATACAAAGACTAAGTACGATGTAAAATCAGTGTTTGTTGTTAAGATTTAAGGCAGTCGCATCTGAGTTCATTTTAGGCTTAACCATGTGGATGCCATAAAACAAATCAGATATTAAGGAAAAGCCAGACAAGGAGCAACAGTATAAAACCTGCTAGCAGTGGTGGAAGTAGTACTCCAAACCTTTACTTAAGTTCAAGTAACAATGCCACAGTGTAAAAATACTAGGGTACAAATAAAAGTAAATGTAAAAGTACTCACAATGCAAAATGGCCCCTTTTTAAGTGCCAATTATGGAGCCTTAAAGGTCCAGAGAGATGTTTTTTTTTTTTTCTTATGCACGTTGTATTAAAATCTGTACACACAAATTATTA